CACACACACACACACACACACACACACACACACGTGTCTTTCTTACCACATTCTGCATATTTAGGGACTTGATATGTGAAGCTTCTAATCAGAATCCACAAGGGCTGCCCTAATTTTCCGGCCCATGGGTTGGAAGCAGAGAAAGGAAACACAATGCAGCACCAGCACCTCCTGGTTCCTAGCAGGGCCTGCCGGGAAGGATGGAAGGATGTCTTTGGGAATGCACCCTGTTGGGAGTCAGCCCAGTGCTTCCTGGGGAGCCTTCCTGGGATCTGATATCCCCAGGCTCTCAGGAGTCCCAGTCAGCCTCCCCAGCCTCCAGTGCCCTCCTGGAGCAAGGAGAAGACTCTGCAAAGGGAACTCCAGCTGACAGACTCTTGGGTAGTTTTTAGGGACCCTTTTCTTCAGCAGAAATCAAAGCTCAGCATCAATCTCACCACCCAGTAACTTGGCTCTTTTGGAGCAAGTTTTCTCGGTATTGGCACGGTTGATATTCTCAGTATTGGCACGGTTGATATTTTAAACCAGATAATTCTTTGTTGTAGGGGCTTAGCAACAACCTTATCCTCTACCCACTAGATGCCAGTAGCATCTGCCCCAAGTTGTGACAATCAAAAATGTCTCCAAACATTGACCCATGGCCCCTGTAGGGCAAAACGACCCTGACTGAGAACTGCAATAACAGAGATATATTTAGTTTTCGAACTTCAGACCCAAAAAGGACTACAGGGTTCCTCTAGTCTTGTGGCTCTCAAAGTATGGTTCCCAGGCCAATAGCACTAGCAAAGTCAGTAGCTGCTCTGAGACCCAGACTTGTTATGGTCAAGACCACGGCACTTACCACCACGTCACTCCCACGTTCACCACCCTGGAAATTGCCCCGTCGCCGTCTTCACTGCTGCTTTCTCTCCACCCCGTTACCCCTCTCGCCACTTTTCTGAGTTGCAGAGTTTCATGCTTGTGTTCCATTCTTATTTCCCTTTCCAGAGATCATCCACTCGTGAGGCTGAGGCTGAGTTCCACGGTCTCCGTTCTGCTCCCCCTCTGCCTAGTGGTGGGGTGTGCAGCAGTGCAGGGGTGTGAGTGTGGGTCTGCGTGGGTGGCATCTGGGTTTGTGTCTACGTGTGTGCGTTTCTACGACTGTGGCTACATGCAAGCATCTTAGAACGTGTGCATGTGTATCTGCTTGGGCTGCCGTAATAAAATGCCGCAGACTGGACTGCTGAAACACCAGGAGTGTGTTGGCTCATGGTTCTACCGGCCACAAGTGTGAAATCGAAATTTAGGCAGGTTTGGCCTCCTCGGAGGCCTCCTTGGCTTTATGCTGGCTGTCCTTGACATCTCTTCCTCTGTGCAGGCATGATCCTGGTGTCGCTTCCTCTTCTGATAAGGAAACCTATAGGGAACAGACAGATGTGTGTGGTGGCAACATGTGGTCATGAGGATGAGGGAATAATTCTATAAACGACACCCACTGTACTGACCCCTACTTGCTGTCTTTTCTAAAAAGCAGTTTACCTGCACCCCTGCCTGGCTGATGTGTCACACTCCTCAGCAAACAACCTGTTACCTGCAGGGGAAATGCAGGCCCAAAATGCAGATAAGAAGAACACAATTTACCTTGAGGAGGGTGGGACTTTTGTGACCCTTACCCAGACTAGATCCCAGAACTTGGAGAGATAAGGATAATTCCCCCTAACCATAAAATCTGTAAGGATAGGTTCCAATTAGAATAGTCAGCATGAGCCAAAGTGACTGAGAAATGTGCAGTGGGGACTTGAAATCCTGATGTCAGCCTGCTGTCACTCAAAAGTCAAACGGTAGACCTAGGCCAGATGCTCTGGAAAATTTCCTGGAACCCCAATAAAACCGGAGGGTAGGAGAGGCACACGGTCCCTCTCCTCTCTGAGAGAGTCCCTTTCTTTCCCTTTTCCTAGCCCTTCAATAAACTCACGCCTGCTACTCTGAGCAGCATGTCTGAAATCCTTCTGGCCTGATTGCAAGAATCAGGGTGAAGGGGGCCTCTACCCTGCCTCCGTCGTGCAGAAGGCCCCAGCCCTGTGACAGACACCAGCCACACTAGATCAGGGCCCACTTCAAATGGCCTCATTTTAACTTAACCGCCTCTTTACAGTCCCCGTCTCCCAAACACAGCCACAGGCTGAGGTGCAGGGCCTGGGAATTCAACACGTGAACTGGGGAGGCACAGCTTAGCCCCTCACAGCACCCACGAAGGGGACGTGAGAGATGGAAGCAGAGGGTTTTCACCACTGAGGGGCCACACCCATCCACTCTCAGGTCCACATCTCTGGATGCAGGATCCATAGCCTGTGACAGCCACTGGCAGCCTGTCCCTTAGTTTAAGGGACAGTGGCAGACTTGGCTCTTGTAAGGCAGATTTTAGGCAGGCTGACATGTTCCTTCTTTCAGAAAGACTGACTATAAAAATTCATGTCTTGGGACTTTCCAGAAAATATGAATGTTAAACCAGGGTCATTTGATTGACTGTTTTTGACTAAAATTCAATAGTCCCACAGTTGTTAGAACTAAAAACATTAATTTTCACATCAGGTGGACAGAGCCTCTGACCCCTGGTCTTGTATGAACATTAATAGTTTAAAAATAAATAGTAAAATGAATAGAATTTTTAGCTCAGAAGCTCAGAAACTTCTGTCTGATTTAGATGCTGATCTTAGTTAAGTCTGGATATACTTGGGTCATGTAGGAGGCAGGATGGCCCAGGCTGCAAATTCACCACAGAGCTCAGGAAAGGACCCAAGAGTCCTGACTTTGACCCACATGGTTATATTCAGCCAGGTTTTATCCAGTTGAATGGCATAAGAGGGTCTTCCTTGACAGACACCTTGGGCAGAAGAGGCCCCTCTTGGCCCTGGGTTCCGCAATGCTGAAAAGCTAGGATGCAGAGCTAGGCCACCATTCCCACCAGCTTGAGTTTCTGTGAGCTTCTAGAAACGGGAGGATTCTATTCCCAGGTGAGGTTCACTCAACACACCTTTAGGGAGGGGTCCCAGATAAAATAGATAAAATCTAGAAGCCTGAAGAGCAGGATGTCTAGATGAAATTTTTATATTTTTTTTTCATAATCAAAAGGGGAGGAATGTTGGTGAGTTCACAGGGTTCAACTCAAATTCACGGTAGCTGTCTTGGGAATACCCAAGGTATCTATGGGACACAGATGGGACATCTATGGGACTCAAGGCACTGCTGGAGAAAGAAGGCAGAGCTTCTGTGTAATTTAAGACCTGGAAGACCAGCTTGTGCCCTTGTCTCCCTCCTGGGTCAGAATCACATGTGCACTTCTCCAGGGCTGCTGGTCTTCACAGGAGAGATTCCTTAACATCAGAAATCATTTCTTTATTAAAACCAAACAAACAGAAAACAGCGACTCTGTCGATGATCAGCACTTACTAAATAAGCCTGTTTATTTTCAAGTCATTCCCACTCCTGGCGAGTGAAAAGCGGTCCTGAGAAAAACAACTGCCTGAAGGCCACCCATCCAAAGCCGGCAGACCTCCCTTCCTGCAAAAGCAGTGGGCCTCTCGCAGGACGCAGCAAAAATCCGTGTCATGAATCTGGGACAGAACAAGTCAGGGTGTGTCTGTGAGCTGGTGGCAGCCGCAAGCTGTTTGCTTGGTTCAAGACAAATAACAGAAATCGAAAGTAATCACTTAAAAACACTCACAGTAATCTGACATCGCAGTTTCGTTTCTGTTGACTCAAACAATAAAATATCGGGTTTGAGTTTTGTAAGTCTGCATGTTTTTTAATTTCATTTTTCTAATTACTCAATGTTATTATATTTTACAAAATTATCAATCCATAATGGACTGGAAATATTTTTTAAAGTCCTTCACCAGACATTTGAGAAGTACTTCAGGAAGGATAAACATCAGCTTGATATAAACAGCAATAACTAATATCCTCACTGGTGCTTATTACGTACCAGGGCCTGCAACATAAACTCAGTGACTCCTCACAGCTTCCTATAAGGTAGGAACTACCACTGTTCCAACTTCACAGATGAGGAAACTGGACACAAAGAAGATAAAGTACTTTTCCCATATTGCACGACTGGTCTTGAGGCTGAGACAGGAATCCCGACAGGGTGGCTCTTGAGTCCATGCTATTAACCTCTGCCATGACACTCTACAATGTAAACCAAACTGATTATTATTATTATTATTATTGATGGGGCAAGGAAATGTTGGGGATTGAACTCAGAGGCTCACTACCACTACCACTGAGCTACATCCCCAGCACCTTTTTTTTTTTTTTTTTTTTTGACAGGATCCCACCAACCTGCCCAGTCAGGCCTCAAACTTGCAATCCTCCTGCTGCGGTTACAGACATGCACTACCATGCCCAGCTCCAACTTGATTCTTATATAAGTGGCAAAATATTTTAAAAATTAAAAAAAAAAAGAGTTAACATCAAAACTGGAAAAGGAAGGTTCTGTGGGAGGAAGGAAGGCAGAGCATGTACATGGTAAGTGCCCATGTCAGGCTTCAAGGGTCTGAGCGTGTTCTAAGCTGTAATCAGGTAAGCAGTACGTATGGATGTTCAATCTATTTCTGTTTAATTGCACACACATATTTTACACATCTTTTATGTGTAGAATACATTTTACAATTTTTTAAGGTTTTTTTTTGTTGTTGTTATTGTTGGGTTTTTTTGTTTGTTGGAAGGAATTAAGGAGCTGTCAAACAATGGTCCCAACAGTCCCTAGTGAAGGTGAGCGCCCCCTAATGGAACAAACAAGTACAGTCACTCTCCTCCATCAGACAGGGAGCAGGTGGAAGATACAAAAACCTTGAGGCTTCCTTCTGTTGTCCAGAGTCTTTCTTCCTTAAAATGCATTCTGGAATTTGCAGTAAAGAGGAAGCCCACATAACTTGAGATCTTGAACCAACATTTCTAGAAAGCAATGCAGAATTAACATTTAAGGCTGACAGAAATGCCACATTGAGAAAATATACAAGAGCACAATTTTCAGTGACAGGAGGCATTAAGGATCTTCTTGATTTCTTCTGAGCACTTTCACTGTGGGTGACATGGGTGGGGTGGGGGGTCCACTCCAGGAAACAAGGGAAGCTGCTTGCTTCAGAGAAGACTGTACTGAAATGAGGCTCTTCCTGGTGTGTGGTGAGGTGGCCTTGCTACCCAGAGCCTGGGCTTGGAAGGTTTGAACCATTTCTGAGTGCTTCAACAGGAAGCATTTGAGATGGAGTCCTAGATCTCTAATCACCAGGAAAGCTGAGCTGATGTGCAGGGCAAGTCAACAAGCATGTGCCCCACACCAAATCAGCTGAGTCAGGACCTTTTTGAGAGTAGAACCCAGAAATCTGTATCTCTGGAAATCATGCCCCTACCCCATGATTGCAATTGTGGCTTCTGGGGCCATGTTAAATCAATTAGGCAAGTTAGGAGTGAAGATTTTTCAATCATACAAACCTTGCCTCTGCATTTGCCAGTCATAGGGCCTTAAACAAGTTATTTAACTTCACTGAGCCCAACAGTCCCCATAAAACTGGAGAATGATATTACTGCTCCGAGTTATGGGGAAGATTTAATTAGAGATTATATATATACAGTGACTGGCTATGATAAGCACTCAAAATTTAGCTTCATTTATTTACTATCATTTATGAGTATCTACAATATGCAAAGCAAGTGGGGAAGGGTGGAAGAGAAACACAAGAATGGTGCGCGACACAGTGATGCACACCTGTAATCCCAAGGACTTGGGAGGCTGAGGCGGGAGGATCACAAGTTCAAGGGCAGCCTTAGCAACTGAGCAAGACCCTGTCTCATAATGAAAAGGACTGGGGATGGAGCTCAGTGGTAGAGTGCTCCTGGTTTATCCCTAGTACCAGAACACACACACACACACACACACACACACACACACAGAAGAGCCCCTGCCTTTTGAGGAACATATATCTAGTGGAGTTGCTTTTAAAGCTTTCCTATAAACCTTCCAAGTAGATTAATTCTCATCTTTTTCCAGGGTTATCAAAGCAATGCCAGCCCCGTTGAAACCCCTAATATCCAAGAGATGCCTTTACATGTGGAAGGTGAGAGAGCTACTGAGAATGTGTTCAAGCCAAAAAGTAACCTCCTTTAAACACGTTTAGGTGCTATCGTGACTATCAATTGACCAAATCTGAACAGCCTGTGCCCTGTTCCTCCCAAGGAGCCCTTGGTGCAATGGGAAGCACTCCTTGGGGACTACGTGATAGTGCAGTGGCCACTGTTCATGGGTCTCCTCCAAATTCCCCTTCCTGAGACGTGGCTCCCGGAACCCCGCTGATGTCTATCTACCTAGAGAGGAGGGCGCGAGGGAGGCTTCCCAGCTCCTCTACCATGGCCTACCAGGCCCTTGAATGCCCCTGCACTCTGGAGGGGAAACAGGCCCACATCGAGAGCACCTGGGTTCCTCCAGTTCTGAGGGGTAAGGCTTTGGATTATTCTCGATACCCTATGCCAAGGAGGAATATCAGTAACAGCTTTATTTCAAAATGATCATGAATCCAGAGATCATGTCTCGGGTTTCTAAGACTGCATAATGTCTCAAAGAAATGACTCCAACAAAATAGACCCAGGGAAGGCTAAAAAGTTGTACCCTGCTCTCATCTGAACTCCTCCCACACCTGTGTCCACTCCAGAGCTAAGCAGCTGACAGAAAGCAGCCCAGAGCCGATTCTCCCTCTGTTCTGAACCTGCTTGGGGTTGATATGCACAGGGTTTATTTAATTCACAAAACCTCACAGTAAAA